GCACATTTATTTCATTCTTGTGATTCACGCTATTGATTGTGGAGAACGATCACACAGATCATTAAGCAGTATGCCCCAATTCATTGCCATTCTTTGCGATAATTATGTGCATTGTCAATTTTCAAGTTATGGTGATAATACAAAACTTATTATTGACACATTTTTGCATTTATTGTTCGATTTTCCCCTTGTTAGTTCAAATAAGAACTGAGTATTTCTTTGTGAAACAAGATTACTACTCAAGCTTTCCAATGATATTGGCGGCTTCGAACCTTGGACATCAAAGGTAACAGCACACCTGTAGACTCTATTGTGCAACCTTACAAAACGGCAGCTGCTTTGAATAATTTTTCGCCAGTTGGGACTCCAGCTCTTAAAGGCCATTGTACTAGTTTGGCTAGGAGGGATTAGACCACCCAAGGTGGTCACTGACAGGTGGCTATCTCATCAACCCAGTTCTCAATTAACATAAGAAAAAGAGGATCATGGGGGACCAGTGGTCACCGATTAGGAATTGTTTTCTATATAGAGGGAGCAAGTAGTACAGTGGGCTTAAAACTCCTTGCTCTGACGAGGAGATATGTACTGCCCAACCATGCAACCGGGTCAGCTTGCATCGATAAGAAAGCTCCGTTGTTTCCTCCTTAACAGCAATGCTTCCCATTATTTTTGCCTAAATCTCAGCGATTTTAAGAGTTCCGCAAATTATGTAGGTCAATGGTCCAACCATGGACCTACTAGAAGGTCCATGGTCCAACACTCGATTCGATTACGTAATGCGATTTAAAGGTCTGTGAATACATTCCGAAACTGGCCTGACCTGCAAGATAAGGCTTGCGTTCAACGGCTGTTCTTATGAATGCCGTTTACAAGTGTGTGTACAAGAAGTTAGTAGTGAATTACATGCAATGCTGCCTTTCAATTGAGCCTTGAATTCAAAACATAAACAAGTCAGGAATAAGCCAGTTCACGGTTGCATTCTGAGCATGAGCAGATAAAGGTCATTGCAGAACAAATTTTGAAATACACGGAGACGAAATACTAGATACGTGCTCATGAAAGTTATGTAACATTATTCATTCATGCACATTCAGTGCACTCCATTGTACACAGGTGGACGTATTCTTTGAAAAGGGGGAACAAAGGCTATTTATAAAGCACCAGTCCATCGCTGTAGGAGTGATTATTTCAAAATGTACAAAGTGGGACCTCTTCATGTGTTGAAGATCTGTGGATATTCGGGGTCATTGCAGTAAAGTGCTAACCGTGAACTGGTCTATTAGATCAGCAGATCCAGAAATTGCAGGAAAACATCGTCGACATACATCAACGAGATGTTAGACGATCATGAACAATGCAGTCCGAGAAGTTGTCTTTGCTTCCATGGCGTGAAGGAGAAAGAATAAGAACACAGATTCAGTGATCATAAACCTTGTCAAGGAGAAGCTAAACGTTGTGCTCCAGCGAATAACCCCCCCCCCCCACGAAACCATACGATAGGTGAACATACGACTCCGCGACGATCTAGAGTCATTAGGGACTGTTAAATTGAGTGGACGAGAACGGCGTGAACGTCCACTGATCATGCGTGTCCATGGCAAGCCGTTTTAACATTTATTCCTATTTCTTGATATCAAGAATTCAATTCTCAATATCAAGAAACGATTTTTTGTTGTTGTAAAGCAATGGTAATTCTTGATATTCTTGATAATAGGAATACATGTCAAAACGGCTTGCCAGACACGCATGCTCCGTGGACGTTCACACCGTTCTCGTCCACTCAATCTTAAAGTCCCTATTATCGTTTCAGTTTGCCAGATACACACTGTGAACATGACGGACAAAGAAAGTGGACAAAATATACAGTTTCTCATTCAACCCTCAAAAATGCTATGGTAGATAAAGGAACATCCCTTCACTGCTATTATGTAAAAATCTGTAGAACAGGTGTCACCTGTTGTACAGATGTTTACATACTAGCAGTGAAGGGATGTTCCTTTGTCTACCATAGCAATTGTTGAGGGTAGAATGAGGAACTGTATATTTTGTCCGTCATGTTCATAGTGACAACCATGGACCATGCACGATTGAAGCTTCGTCATCCATTCGAGTGGTTTAAGGCGATTGACTGAAGATGCGAAGGTCGAGGGTTCGAATACCAACACGGCACTAATATCCTTTGGCAAGATATTTACCTGCAATTGCTACTCTCCACCCAGGTGTAAAAATGGGTAGGATGCGACGGTCATTGTTGGTCAAACAGTTTTTTAGCGTCAAGTAACGCCTGACTGGAATGCTCCCCAAGGGAGTGGAGATTGTGCAAAGAGTGTGTGCGAGCAAGTTTTGAAACCAATGACCGGGTTAATAGGATATCCTTAAAGCGCTTAGGGACATTTGTATTAAGCGCTATATAAAAGCTGATATTATTATCATAATTAGTAAAAACATCTACGTCCACAGGACTTCACCGCAAAAAGATCACATTTTCTGTGCAAAACACGAAACATGACATTTAACGCGAACAAACATGGACATTAAAAAGGCAAAATCGCGGCTCTCACCGAAAGACGATAGGAAAATAACAATCCGCTGTGGTTATAACATGTAATCCCTCTAAATTTCCTTTTTTGAGCAGACTGTTTTCATCGGTAAGAAGTATCCATGTATACAATTTTCTAAATCAGTATATACACAGTGTAAACTTCGAAATGCGATATTATGCATTAAATGTCATAAATTGATTTTATTCGAAAAGTTCCACTGCCAGATGGTGATTAGATATCTCAGACGATTATGTAGAAACAATTACTTTTGATGATAATGGTAACCTAAGCAATGCAAATGAAAATGCTTTACCTAGAAAATTGGAATTCGTTAGAAAAGGTTCTATAATAGCTCAATTAAATATACGTTGTATTAGGGGTAAATTTAAGCACATAAAAGATCTTACAATCCTGAAAGAAGAGATAGAAATTCATCAGGTGATGATGTTGCTTGGTATATTCACTCGAATTTGATTTATACTGGCTGGTATTATGTGGAACATGAGTTATGAGGGCCTGGAAACATTTTGACATGAAAACAAATTTAAACATTCATAACTTTGTTGTGTACCGTTGTTTACCGACCTCCTAATTCTTCTACCGACTTCTTTTCTAGAGCAGAACTTATTACAATCGTCATTAAATGTTAACCTCGAAGATTTTCATTGTAATATGCCCACCGAGTGTCCTCAATTGAATCAAATATAGAGTAACAAGTAATAGCAGAATCTGCATTGGTCTGAATTTACTTCTTTTGGAGAATAACAATTTCCATTACGATTTGGTGTCGACTCGGTGATCATTCTCTAATATACATAAAAGTTACAAAACAATTTCATGTTGCTCCAACTATCAAATGATTTCGTTCATTTCGTAATTCTAACCGTGATGTTCTGATGGGTGAAGGTGATCTAAAAGACTGGCAAATGTACGCTATTAACGATGTTGATGAAAAATGGAATGTATTTTGAAATGCATTCGTAAAACTTTGTGATAAACATATATTATGCACCATTTGCTTTCGTCAGGCAACGGCATAAACCCACCCCATAGATAACAGATCAATACTGGTCACGAACTACCGAGAGTGATATTATTTGAAAGATTGATTCGATGGTTCACATGGTGATAAAGATAAAGATAATTTATATGATATATTTATTGGGAAAGTCTGAAAAGTAAGTAGAAATATATTCAATAATTGGAATAAAAATACTGAAAAAAGATTACTATTTACAAAAAAAGAAGAAAAACAAATCGAAATGGATAAAATGAAACTCTAAGAGTACCTGTAAAACTAAACAATATGTTTTTCTTGTATTGATAACAGTCAATTTGTACTTCTTGGTAAACTAAATGACAAGTTGAAAATCGATTGTTTACAAAAAAAAAATGCTAATTCATTCCAAACTTACTTTAATCACAGTGCGATGAGAATCAAATTAAGTGAAGAAAAATCGAAGAGAATCAGTTTACCTCTGAATCGTACAAGTTTGGGTATGTCAAAGCTGATTACGACGTGTTTAAAGAATTCAATAGTTCAACGAAAGTTGCCATGTATATATTTACATTGTATATATTTACATTTGATATATTCAAAGATAATTATTGCTTTTCAAGTAATACAAATAATACACTTAGATTTTTCACAAGATAGTTGAATAATGTAATACATGTGCACGCTTCAATACAAAGGGAAGCACCACAAATTGGCAAGGACTGATGCAGTTCACACTATGAATATGACTGACAAAGAAAGCGGACAAAATATACAGTTCCTCAGGTACACAAAGGAACATCCCTTCACTGCTATTATGTAAAAATGTGTAGAACAGGTGTCACATGCATATTCACCTTCTTACATAATAGCAGTGAAGGGATGTTCCTTTGTCTAACTGAGGAACTGTATATTTTGTCCGCTTTCTTTGTCCGTCATGTTCATAGTGTCTTTAGTTTAAAAGTTTCATGTCAACCTATTTTTACTAAATGTTCTAATTTTCCAAGTAATAAAACATAATTCACCTACACGCCATCTGCGGATAACAGAACTTTTAGAGTACGTTTAAAACTGCTCGATGTAGGTGACTTTTTGGTTCCATAGTAGACTCTAATCCCTACACACAATGCATTCCTTTCAGCTTATCTTGTATTGTGATCACGTCGTGAACAGACATGAGATGTCGCCGCTCGCAGATGTTCCCATTGTGGATATACCCTTACTTGTTTCCACTTCTTTCTTTAAAATGTATGGAGCATGCAGTTTTGAGTATTGCAAGAAGTCAGTATTCGCCCCTTATTAGAGTGTACTATTTATTGTTATATAGTTTATACGTTAATGTGTTTTCATTGGAACTCGTTTACAATGTGGGTGTGTAACGAAACCCGCATGGATCGCATCATATTTCCACATCAGACGGCAAGACAAGAGGTTGTTTTTATCACTAAATAATAGTAAATATCAATTTCGCTTTATGTTTTAAGAGTGTGCACTGTGCACGCAATAGGTATTGATATCCACACCACTCTCAATAGACCAGTTCGAAGATACAATCTGCGCATGCACAGAATGGTCACTTTTACAAAATTGTAAAACCCACTGATCTGCTATTCTGCTACTTGTCAAAGCCTGTTCATCTAGACAAGGGTGATCTTCTGCCGACGGTGGACGGCTTGTGCGAATTTGTGCCTAATTATATGCATGTATATGGTGCAAGTAAAAATGATGATGTTGTGACTATACTCGCAGCTGGTGGCTTCCTTCAACTGCTTCAATTGGGCAACTCAATGATATCCCAGTCTTTCAAGAAGCTGTACTTGTATTTGTAAGAACCAGAGGATGTACCAAGTCTGGTGAAACGAAGAAAATGTTGACTTCTTATAGCTCTGCCTTTCTGTGTGATGTAATCTGGAATAGGGATGGCTTTCTGGTGGTGGGGGATCTTGTACATCATGGGTAGACGTGATTGCAGTCGTCGCTCTTGTAGAGTTGGGAGTCCGATGTCTCGGATTTGATTCGTACCCCCTCCTCTGAACTTTCTCAAGCCTGTCTATCTTGTTTTGCCGATACGTGCTCATGAAAGTTATGTAATCATTCTTCATGCATGCCACTGTGATACATTCTATTAAACACAGGTGGAAGTAATTCTTTCAAGAGGGCAAATAAAGAATCACCTCCATGACTTTAGCTGTGATTATAACTGACACAAAGTGGGATTTATCTACCTTTAAAGATCTGTGGATATTTGGGGTCATCTGAACCATTTTGCTAACTACGAACTGGTCTAAGGATAGGCCTTTGTCACATTCACAAGCAGGTAATGATTGCTTAACTATATTTGGCACCAATGATTATTTATTGTTATATTCATCATTATTGAACCGTGCTGACTGCTAAGAAAGCATAAATGCTTGTAAGTAAGCAACCAGAGGACCGACGGCTTTAAGTCCTCTCCGATAGACCTGGTAATGAGGATTAATGCCTTACCAAAGGGCACTAGCGCATCGACTTGGTTTCGAACCCGGGTCACCGGCTTACTCGACCACTGCTCTACCATCTAACTTAGCTATCGCGCCTCCTCGTTATTATGATATTGATTTTTTGGGTGTAGAAACCCTTTTCTTTGGACTCTACATTTGGATATAATTTTATTTCAAACTCATGAGTACAATTTTGTTTAATTCCCTTTGTTGCACAGTTGAACAGCCCACGACGAAGGCTATAATGCCGAAAGCTTGGCTATAATAAACAACTGGTCACATCAGCTATAACGTGCTATATTACTCAATAGTATTTCACCTTTATGTCCACTACATATAACACGACCCGTCACGTTTAACAGTCGTAGTCGACTCCTTACCATGTTTATACACGTTTATATACATATATATATATATATATATATATATATATATACATAGATATTTGTGTTTGTGTGTGTGTTGTGGTGTGTGTGTTTGTGTGCATATATGTATATATGTGAGCCTGTTAAAAGGGTAACTCTATTTTGCGTCCTGGATAACTTATTTAGTATATTTTTTTTTAGTTGAGAATGTTAGCAGGATGTTCCAGTAAAATTACCTCCAGATTTGTTTAAGTTTTTTTTTTGTATATAAGTGAATAACATTTACAATTGACATATTATGTTTAGGTACTTATACGTTTACTTTGTTGCTAAGTTATATATATACTGCAAATAAGTTTGTGTTTAATTATGTTTATGTAAAAGCATCAATATTGAACACGTTTATTTTATTCAATTGTATGTTATGGTTTGTATTGCACATTTGGAGAAATAAAACAAAATTGTTTAAAAAAAAAATTAAAAAAAAAAAATATTTATACACATTGCCCCCAAAATGTAGACTTTTGTTCAAGTTCTTTGAAAAATTATGTACTGATGACCATATTTGCATGTCCTTGTCACGTATATATTTTGCTGGTATTATTCAATATTACATAACCAATTGAATTCGTTTTAAGAGTTGAGCCAGGCTTTGTTTTGACGTTCTCGCAGCATTGATCAGTGAGTGTTTTCCACTTATAAAAACTGAGTGTTTTTCCGACTAAAGTTGGTAATCCATAATTCCTGTAATCAGATAATGGTTTTGATTCATATAGCCAGCCCAACATATAGTTACAAACAGCAGGGGTTGATCAATTATTTAAAATAAGAGGGGTACGATTCCGAAAATTAAGGTCGTACAACCACCCCCCCCCCCCAAATTACCCCGATTTTAACGTGCGTTCAGGTCTGTAAGAGGCCACAATAATTATAGGATGACAATTTAGAAGGGGCACTGACGGATTGTGCCCCCCCCCTTCTCCATCCCAAGCCGTGAGCACCGTGGTCGCCAGCGGAAAGAAAGAAAGAAAAATACAATTAGCTTGTGCTTTTCCTTCCATGCTCTCACACACAATTATGCCTCGTATCTGTGATGTTAATTAACAACAAAGAAATCAAATATTCGTTCGAACTTCCGATTTGACAGGAAACGTTCAATTACGTGAGGGCGTTCCAATTTCTTGGTGTCTCCTTTTATTGTATTTGTTTTCAATGCAGCCATGCTGGAGAGAAAAATATTACCTTGTCGTGTCCTATCAACCATTCTCTTTAAGTTACAAATATATTATGTAAACTGTTGATCTTCACGTTGTATAAATAGTTCCGTCATCATTTATCATGTCATTATTTTCTTTGATTTAACGCGATTGTATAATTTTATTAGCCATTTGATTCCTTCATTCGAATGTAAACATAGAAATGGGAAAATGGAGATGGAAATTAAGAAGACAAGTGTATGTGATTATGTGATGGAGACATATTTTTCTCTTAATTAATCACTCTGAATCGAGACTCTTCGAGAGGCCATGCAGGTATTAAATGACGCCCACAGGGGGTATGAATTCAACCGTCCCGTTGCGTGTATGCAATGTCTTCACTTAAATATTCGTGTTGTGCCCTATATGCGGAGCTGAGTGGGGCAAGAAATTGTGTATGCGCGCCCGAGATTGCTTCATGTACAATGCATGCACGGCGCACCGAGAGGTGAGCCCGTGTTGAGTACTCTGCTTTTCTTATTATCTATCGCGAAGTCACACAACACATATTGGAACCCAGCTGATGAATCTCTCTCCCTGTATCTCTCTCTCTAATCCCTTCTCTCTCCTTCTTCCCCTCTCTCCCTCTTTCTGTCGTCCTCTCACCCCTGTCTTTAGATCATCTTCAGCAGAGGCGACGTCGCACAGGGAGCATTCCTAAATGAATGATTCACCGCTTTCTCCAGTTTGAAGTTTCTGCAGAAAAGAAGAAAAGCAGGCGTAGTGAGAGAGGAAAGGGGACGCGTGAGTGAGACGGTTCCCCATCACTGTGATATAGGAGGCATCCATGCCATAGCTGTGTATTTCATCAAGCGTTCAGGCAGCCTAGGATGAAGACACACCATCTGCCATGCCAGTGTGGAGAGCAAGGGAGTCTTTTCGCATGTGGGATTTGGCTTTATAGCTTCTAGGAAGGAAGGTTGCCTAGCTAGTCTGGAAGTGGATTAATCCCAAAAGGTACGTTCAATGTAGGGATAAGGAGACAAAGCAGCACCGCCGGAACATAAATATCTCGAAGTCACAGAGTCATTCAATGTGCATGATTGTACGAGTCTTGAATGTCACATTACTAGTAGCCCACGTATGTCCTCGAAATGGGTGGAATTCGACTGCCCGAAAATAGAACATAATAGTAAGCAGGAACTTGCTCAATTTGTGACAAGTCCCAATTTAGTAGAGTTCACAGATTTTCATTGCTGATTTGACGTTTTTATAGTCTTTAAAAGATAGAGGGTCACGAAGACAAATACGTAATATGTGAACATGTATAGTAGACCCGCCAAATAGATAAAGGCTGTAGAAAAAGATTCCTTTGTATTGCGGATGTAGACCTATATGAATAACGTCTATGCTAAAAACTACATGCATTTAAAAAAAAAAAAAAAAAAAATGTCACTTTTTAGACTAAAATGTGAAAGAAAGTCAAAAATCTTGATTTTTAATTTTTATGGGAAAATGTGTATTATATATTGACGGCGTTTGCATGAACCTTTTTCGTGATTAAACATAATATGTGTTGTCATGTAAAACAAGAAGAAGAAATGATTAGATAATGTGATGGACGGTTCAGTTTATGTTATCGGAAGAACATTGTTATCATCTTCACAGGATGTGCATGTTGAGTACACGTACTGTACTTTGTACATCTACATTGTACATGTACCGTACATGGCATGTCGAACAGCTATTAATAGCAGCATTAGTCGTACCATAGGCCAAAAAAACCGAAACAGCCCCAACTCTCTTAGATACAATCTTAAATGACAATTTCCTGTTTGTCATTTGGACCCTTATTTTTGAGAACGGGCTTGATTGCCCCCAAACTTTAGTGTTTATACATTATTTTTGATCGGCACGTTTATCCTTAGATTTCTGCATAATTTAGCGCCCTATACATTTGTACTAATCCAATAAACATAACTGTCTGCATTCCATGCGAGGCATGTTTAGAAAGTGACTGCTCATACAAAATGTACTGACCAAGTTTCAGAAGTAGATACTCCCCCCTCCCCCTCCAAAAAAAGAAAGAAAGGGGGGAGAGAAAAGGTCGATGCCCTGGCGACCCACTCTCCAGTAGCCTACCTATAGAAGTACTTTCACCTTCAAGCTATTATTTTGCATTCATTTAGGATCACTTGGTAATAGCTTAGGTCCCATTTGCAGCCAACATCAAATTTTGTAGAACTTTACAGGAATTTTGAACATGTCACGTAGGCCTATGTTCTATCTGTGGAATTCAAACGTTAGCAGTGTCCTAATATTCAAATTATGCAAGGAAACCCGTTTACCTTCTAGACTGCATTGTCAGACACTATAGAGTGACTGACTGGCTTCTTTATTTTCTTTGGTAATAACATACATAAAATGAGATGAAAAGGGTATGAGTATTTGTCTACATTAATTCTTATAATGGCCCAAATTACACTGATTGAATCTTTGCCATTACTTTAGTGATTGCAATCACTCAAGTCGATTCGACCACTAATAGTTCTATTTTCCCAGTTAAAGACATTTTCAAGCCCTTTAGTTTTGAGGGAAGTTCTAAATAGTATTATCTTTCAAATGCCGTTCGAATTGAGCCTTTTCATTTTTTTTGGCCTGCAAATGAAACATATACCGTTAATTTATCATTTTAGACTAGATACACGTGCCATAGCTGTACGAGACCCCATGGATTTCTCTGCTAACTTTTAAGTGGCAAAATTCAGTATCCATATACCTTTTCTTTACAATACACATGTTTACATTTTACATTTTAGACTAGATACACGTGCCATAGCTGTACGAGACCCCATGGATAATTTCTCTGCTAACTTTTAAGTGGCAAAATTCAGTATCCATATACCTTTTCTTTACAATACACATGTTTACATGTTGGCCCTAATTCACAAAGGAGGTTTGTCGACAAACCTAGGTTTACGTGCGTCATAATTTTATGACGCGTTTTGACGCGTTTTGACAAACCTAGGTCTGTAAATACAAACCTAGGTTTGTAAAAACGCGTCATATGACGTACATAAACCTAGGTTTGTCGACAAACCTCCTTTGTGAATTCGGGCCATTGTGTGCATAATGTTTGAACAAGGTTTCACTTGACGACTAAAGAGTTTACCAGAAGCTTGCCCGACGTAGCAACTACTAAAACATGAAAATTGGATTCCATCCATATAGAGATGCCTTTATTCAAAGTAGGTGGATGAAATGGCTTGTAACCAGGGGTTAGCGAAAGAAACGTGAATAGATTGAAATACATTAGCAAACAGGTCTATTATATTTTCTGTAAGTGGTACGAGCGATTCACTTTATTTTGCTGTTGAATGCATTTGGGCTGCCATTCCTGTCAGACCTACACAAATGTACCGAAGCATAAACCTGCCTGCCTATATTCCTTTCACTGATGGCATTCCATTCATGCAAAAAACCTAATATCGAGTGCGTTGGGTGTGTGTACGTTCGTGCATGCGCGGATTATACGGCCGGCAATTTATAACACGTATTATAAGGCCCTTCAATTATTCATGGTAAAACTCACTTTAGTCTGAACGGTTTTTCTTCAGTAAGTCCGTGGGCTGAATGGCGTGCTCAGATTAACATACATTTACAACCGAACAAAACAGAAATGAAAATAACGAAACGAAAAACATTTGAAAACATAAAGGGATTTTGTTTAAAATTATAACAGACCTTAAATAATATTAGGTTTAAAAAAATATTTAAAAAAAAATAAATACATAAAGCAATAATGATATAATTATAGTAAAGAAAGCTACATGTATTTGTGGACTATTTGGGGCAGTTCAGATGTGACGAAATAGATAGGAAACACTCTTTCTCAACATTTGAATTATAACCTCTGTGACTCAGTAAAACAAGGTTACTATATGAACCAACATTTCTTGATCAGGAAAGAATAACGTGTTTAATAATGCTATATTTTGATAGCTGCCATAATTCAAAGCTTATTGCATTATATTTTGTATATTTGGTTTGTTGGTACCAAGTTCGTTTGTTTTGCGTGGAAGTGATTAGTCAGATAAACGGTTATTGAGCATAGTCAAACTTTGTGGTAAGGCAAATTTAACTGTTAATAAGTTTTATGTTTTTGTTTTTTGTTCGTTAGGTTTTTTTTTCTTATCATTCCGTTAAATGTGGATTTTCCTTCGTTAATAGAACACTTGTCTAACTAATAGATATATTTCTTATCATAGTCAAGCGTTGGAAGTTAGTTATCTTTGTATATTTGGTTTGTTGGTATCAAGTTTGTTTGTTTTTCGTGGAAGTGTCCACTTCATTTGTGGAATATTAGTCAGATTATTGGTTATTGATCATAATCAAACCTTGTGATTTGGTAATCTCCGAAAAGCAAATTTAAATGTTAAGTTTTTTTTTTTTTTTTTTTGTTGTTCGTTAGTTTTTTTGTTATCATTCCGTTAAATATGGATTTGTCCATCGTTAATAGAACACCTGTCTATATTTGTTATCATAGTCAAGCTTCGGGAGTTAGTTATCTTATATTATGTATATTTGGTTTGTTGGTATTACGGTAAATACGGATTTTCCATCGTTAATAGAACATTTGTCTAACTAATAGATATATTCATAATCATGATCAAGCTTTGGGAGTTACTTATCTTATCTTATGAGTAGCAAATCATATTTTGTTGACGTAATTTTGTCATTTTGTCATTCTGCTAATTGGCATTGTCGATCATTTTATCACACTAGCCCGTCCACTTGATAAACCAATACGAAGAAACCACCACCAGCACCACGGAGGATTTGACTCTTCATCACCACTCTGCAGATGATCTACCAACCATGAAGGAACTGCCCAAATCGAAGAAAAACCGGTTGATGTTCTTCTGGACACTGGTGATGGTGACGACCATCTGGTTGGTCCTCTGGTCCATGTCCGACGGGTACGACCGCTTCACGTGGCAGGAGGAAGTGTCATCAATACCTGTCGTGTGTCACCCTTCAACCACCAGGTGAGTTCACGCAGACAGTTCATAAATACATAGGCCCGTAATTGTATTCGGGTTTAGGATTTTGTTCCAAATCGGATTTAATAATAGATGTTAGTAAGAAGATGTGTGCACGCACGCGCGCGTGTGTGTGTGAATTTGTGGGTGTGTGGGTGTGTGGGTGGGTGTGTGTGTGTGTGTGTGTGTAATTTATAGATTTTAGACCAAGGTCAATCCTTTTATCTAACGGAAAGCAAAATGCGGATGCATTATTAAGATGATTGTATTTCTTGAGATAGATAGCTACATGACACATGAATGTAGGTCTATGCAATATTCTATGCGATACATTATTTGTATAATGTTTGATCATATCGGAACAGATCTTTAACATATCAATTATTACTAGAGTCATCGATTTTCCCCCAGCTTCATACTGGTACTTACTAGGTGCCTGAAGTGGCGTGTTGATTAAATATAAAGTTCACGCCTGGTCTTGCAATGAAATTGTTGCGGGGGGGGGGGGGGGGCTGTCAGGATGCAATGTGAAACTGGGGTGATGATGTAGTGAATAGGCATTGATGTATCCGGAGAGGTTTTATAACCATAACATTGATTACAAATGTACACATTCTTGATAAAAGCACATACACTGTACACAAAAATGGGTATATAACTGTGATATGACTGTCTGGTCCAAACCTCACCTCTTTCTTGTCATCATTATTTCGAACAAGAAAGCATACGAAAAGCAATCTATCTCAGGGGGGCACTCATATTACGACTTTAATATCCAAGCTGACAAAGGATGAGAAAACTCACACATCGAGAGATTGAGTCATTAATTTATTCAAAACACGGTAAAAAAAAAATACATGTTCACCCTCTGCAGAAGTCAAGCTTGCTTATGAGAAGCGAGAGGCCGGATATGATTTTATTACGTATGCTTTTGTGAATCTTTGAAGACATGGATATAGTCTGCAAGCACAGACCCTAATATGACACTTTATCAAAAAATCATTGTGCCTTGAGAGAAGCCTAGCGCAGCTACCTACTGGTTGTGTCAAGCAGCTATATAGTACATGACCTATGGTAGTCTTATCGTGCAGACTCTCTTTTACGACTGACCAGGGTTTGTGCCTGCAAACTAACATGGATATCTGCCAATGATGATCTGCCAATATTCAGGCTTTCCCTTCTGCCTCATTCAAATCTTTCTCTCTCTATCTCTCTCTCTCTCTCCCTCTCTCTTCTCTCTCTCTCTCTTCTCTCTCTCTCTCTCTCTCTTCTCTCTTCTCTCTCTCTCTCTCTCTCTCTCTTCTCTCTCTCTCTTCTCTCTCTCTTCTCTCTCTCTTCTCTCTCTCTCTCTCTCATCCCTCTCTCTTTATCTCATAGTTTCTTTCTCCCTCCCCCTCTATCTTTCTGTGTCCATTCGTACCTCACTCTCCACTCTCCATCTCTCTGTCTCCCTCTCCCCTCCCTCTCCATCTCCCCTCCCTCTCACTCCCTCTCCCCTCCCTCTCCCCTCCCTCTCCCCTCCCTCTCCCCTCCCTCTCCCCTCCCTATCTTTCTCGACCTCTCTTCCCTACCGTCAATTATATTCAACCTGTTTTTCTTGTCATTTTTGAAAACGAACTTGTAGTTGTACGCACGATCCCATGAAACAAGCCCACATAATTTACATTTACTTTCTTTTCCACTTGATACCGGCCAGGAGAATAATGGTATGGTGTATGGTATGGTATATTTTATTTATTTACGGTTAAAAACAAATATAATAATTGCCTTCATTCAGCAAAAGCTGTTTTTCAACGAGGCCGTGATTACATAAAATTCGAATAGAATATAAAAAAAAATGAAAATACAACTTACAAACAAATATGCAAGTTATAATAAATGAACATAATTGCCAATTATGATTCGCCTTGTTCAAGGGTTGGCAGTAAATCAATCGGAAAGAGATGTCAACCTTTCCATAAAGCATAACATAAATTTAATTGACAAGAAGGAAACTTCTACATGAAGGTAAAATTATAAATACTCTCTCTATCCACCTCTCTCTTTCATTTCCATTTCCTCTTTCTTCAGATTTTCTGCAAATTGCAAAGGTACACGGGTCCACAAACCAGAGCCTTCTGGTTCTTTCTCCATCCCTCTTTATATTATCTTAAACCCAATGCTACTTCATTATGTGATATGCTTTGTTACCTATCAATTATAGAAAAGCAACAACAACAACAATACCCAAACCCAAATAGCAAAGACAAAATAAGACAAAAATGACGAGCTGTCATCCGCAAGGGGCACAAACACAATTAGGGGACGCACAGTACTATTTGCAAGTTTGGGTTGAAAAGGGGCGCAGATTGATTGTGCCCCCCCCCCCCAGAAAAAAATGCCATTGGATATGCATATATACGGCTCCAGTGAATATCTTATTCTAGTCAAAATTCATTATCGATATATGCGGTTTCGTGGTTTTATTTTTCATGGCTTACATTAGTTTGTGCATGAATGTCATGATTATTAAGCACGACTTCTCCTATGGACCAATACATTTTGGAGGCGTCCCACAATTGTAATTTAAATCAGTCATCGCTCTAATTGAGATGAATACAAAACCTTAATTTAAATGGTTTACAATGGTTTGTTCTTGACCGCTTTCGCATATCCAGTAATCAAGGATTCACATTTGGTCAAATAAAGTTAGGTATTTGCAAAAGGTTCAAAGGTTGACCTAGATAAATTTCACGGGCAAGGGCATTGCGACTCGTATGGCGTGCGTTTGGTGCCAAAAATGTATAAAATGTCGATGGTAAAAAACTTGATATTTTCGCCATGCGTTTAGGGTCATAAAGATGAAGGTTCAATGTGTGTGGTACGTGTGTATGGGTGTGTGTAATTGGGTTTCAAACGTATTTCAATCGGATATGATTATTTACGTCTGGGGACCGACTTTTAACGTCACTATCCGAAATACGTGGCTCAGTTTCGAACCAGGGTTCGCCTGAGCCAGTTTGTAGGCGAAGACAGAGGGACCAACCGAACGTAACGCTAGACCAATGGCTCAAAGGGAGAACTATCTATCTCCTAAACGTTCGAAGGTAAAAACAAAGATGTTTTGCCATTGATGTATTTCGTTGACCGGTCAGAGCACAACAAAACTCCATCCAGCTGATGTTCCGTTTCTGTGGATGAATCCGGTGGATAGAAAATATCGATTCATTTTCATAAAACCTTCACGACACCAACCGCCTGCCATAGGGGTTGGCTAAGTAGGTCGACGAAGTCGAAGAAGCGAATATCTATCCTTAGAACAACACGCCGCCTTTGAGGCACTGATGGAATTCGATCAGCCATTGATTTAACCTAAATGCGACTTCTCGATGTCCGATAGCCGTAGATATCCGAACCAAAGCCAAAGCACTGACTGCATGTACGTCGAAGAAGTCACCAAACAAAGATTTGTCTGGCATTTTTAAAGTCTTTCTAACACATGAAGAATGATTTCTAAATCGTGTTTTTTGTGTATGTTATTTTTTATTGTAAGCCAGTCATGTCATTTAGGCCGATGTCAGTTTTTTTTAAATATCACTTTTAATTATTCAATTAAATTCAAATTCAACTTAATTTCCCACATGGAAATCATTATGAACTATACGGATATAGGCTATATGAAATCATGTTCACGATGTTAGATGTTACTATGATCATTAATCTACAAGCCAGCAAAGTTCTTATTGATTTTTTAATGACGGTACAAGTTTCCACTATCATAATTGTTTGGAAGCATCTCTCTTTCCCCGAAAAAAGCTAATTACTTCGTGCTGACGTGTTGATGACTAGAAAACATGCTCAGTATACGACATTGGCCTACTTGCCTGCCAATTATGATATTATATCACGATAAAGTATAATCAGGAAGAAAAAAAAAATCCTGATGTGCCGTGGGTGGTAAAATTAATTCTGCCAAAGAATGTGAACATTAAACGAAATGTTTTGACTGAAGGTTCATTCAGGTATAAGGATGTGAACCCGGATGTGAACCGCGACAGTTTTTCATGATGACGTATGAAGTGTAATACATTTAATTTTGAGATATCTAACAAATAGAGCTCAGTGAATACGCTCATTTACACGTACATAAAACCGCAGCGTTTACAAAAAAAATAGTTAAACCCTCTAACGAAGAGCTCTATTTTGAAGTCTTTGTAAATGGTCGTTAAGTGCTTTAATGCTTTTCCTAAGTTTCTCCAGATTACATCACAATACTCAAATTTGCTTATATTATGCTCTCATGAAATACCAATGCAGCCTGTGATATAAATGGACGAGTTCTTTTGAGTAAATACAGACTTTTCCATATGTCTTGTTTAAGCTTATCTACTTGCTTGTTCCAGTCAACATATTCACAATTAAGACTCCAAGGTGTTTTATTTGCGTTACGCTTCTATCTTTCTAATCCGATTTCTACTCCCTACCAACAAAAACTCGCATTTCTTTACATTCAACGCCAATTTATTCTTTACCAACCATTTTGTTAATAGCTGAGAGATCATCATTCAGATTGTTGGCTAGAGCGTTCACTCTCTCAGTTTCTACGTATATACACGTATCATCTGCATAATGGGACACTCTGCAATTGTTGAGAACACATATTAAACAAATAGAAGGGGGCCAATATTACTCCCCTGTGGAATTCCACATGTAATACTTTGGAAAGATGATTTAGTACCATTAACAACTGTACATTGACGACGCCCAACCAGATAATCCTCGAACCATTTCAAAACATTCCGTTAATGCCTTTCTCTTTAATTTGTTTAACAATAGATGGCGGTCTAGCTATATACTGTATCGAATTCTCAAATCTAAAGCGAACATACCCAACACGGTTTCCCTTGTCTAGGCTATCTAGTATAATATACTTTTCGTGACATTGAGTAAGGCAGTCATGGTAGAATGATTCGGACGAAAACATGATTGGTGTGCACATTATATAGTAATGAATGAAAGAATACTTA